AATCGCAAATGTTCAAATTGTGAATCTGTGGTCTCTCTCTCTCTTTCTGTCAGTCTCTCTCTTTCTATCTATCTCTTTCTATCTCTCCCTTTCTATCTCTCTATTTCTATCTCTCTCTCTTTCGATCTCTCTCTTTCTATCTCTCTCTTTCTATCTCTCTCTTTCTATCTATCTCTTTCTATCTATATATCTCTTTCTATCTATCTTTCTCTCTCTCTTTCTATCTATCTCTGTGATGACGCAAGTTTAGCTCCGATAGTTCTTTTCGTAGTCAGGTAGACCAATAGAATTTCAGGAGATACGCGGTCACGTGAGACGGTCAGATGACCACTGAAGCGTGGGTCAGCAGTTAGAGATAGGTAGCGCTAGAGGAAAAATGTAGGAGTTGAAATGTAGTTAAATGTAGGGATGATCTTGGGAGTGTGTAGGGAGAAGTCACGTGTTAGTTGTAGTTAGAATATGTTAGTAGACATTCATGTGTCAGGGCTTAGTTATGGTAGGAGTCGATTTGATGTGTTAAAAAAAGAGCTGTATTATATTGAATTGGACATTTTGTGTTGATTCCACACTGTACCAGGCGTACATAAAGAACAGGCGATCCCCATAGGAAGAATATATACCGTATCTTCATGACGGAGCATTACAGTTATATATAGAATACAAGCTTTCTACAACCCTGCATTACATTTGTTGGTAAATTGTCACTATCACATTTGGTAGAGCAGTGTTTTCTTCAACTCTCACACTCTCTCTCTTTCTCTCTCTGTCTTTCTCTCGTTTTTTTATTTCTTTTCTCTCGGTCCACCTCTCAACCGTCGCCCACGATTAAAGATATCTTCAAAGAATCGTTTCTTTCTAAACTCGTGTTCAGTGCTACCCTAGATTCACAATCTCTATCATGCAATTCTCATTTTAATGTATTGCGTTTGGTACGAAAAAAACTTCCCACTATAGAAACTTACATCCAACCTTTCTGTTTGTACTTCAATATCCTCGCTAACCCATTCACACCTACTTCATAATGCTGTTCTATAGCTATACAATTTATGGCAGGTATGCTACGTAAATAACATGCTGAAGACGTGTGTAGTATTTGAAGAAACCCATATGCAACCATTCAGATGAGACTACTTGAATCCGAAACGCAGCGACGAACATTCAAATAAACCAGCGTGAAGCGAATTAAAATCTGTCACAAACTAACAATTTCAATTATACAACTAGCAGCATGTATGAAAAAAATGGTATTGACACGGGGTAGTGGTGGTGGGGGGGGGGGGGGGGGACTCGAAACTTCACAGGTGGGGGGTGGGGTGGAAACTGGTTGAAGGATATATTTTGACATTTTTATTTTTGTCCGGGGGGGGGGGGTGGGGGTGGGAGGGGGAGTTCTGCTCGGCAGACATGCTTTGAGGGCGGGGGGAAGGGGGGAGTACTGAGGTTGGTATGACAGATGCTAAAAGGGTTTCGTATTAGCAGATACATATATTTTACAGTTAGTTAATTTTAGAGCGGGTAAAGTTTCGGTTGAATATCGTGGTCTAACATTTTTCAGAGGTCCCTGTTATTTGTAAAATACTAGAACAAATGTATGTGCTAGTTGGTATGTTGAGGTGATACATTGTTTTTTCCATTCAAGTGAGACAGCACGGGTTTATAGTAATGTTGGTCGCGGCCCACAAGGTCTCAACTGCTTACCCAAGGGGAGTTGCTGCGGGTTTTGCTTGGGGATGTCAAGTAAGGTTTCTTTCAGACAATTTTCTTCTAGGGTGGTTATACGGTTTTGTACACTAACACGTTTAGGCCCTGAACAAAAGATGTGTACTGGAGGTTCGGGAATGTGTACGACAAGTATTAAAAACTGGAACACATCGTTTGAATGTACAATGTCCTGTGAAAGGGACTTCTTACGGTTTAAATAATCAGAAAACGGAAACACGTAAGAGAAAAAAAAATTACACTACCATTTTAGAAGCTAGGACAAGTCCAGTCGCTTGGTTTGTGTGTAACTTTCAATCTGCTTCTTAAGGCGAAGATTACATCAATGAACCTCGACGTTTAAAAAAAAATTAGCTTTAGAAGCACAAACAAGATCAGACACTAGACTGTTTATGTCCTGTTTTTTTTGAGTACCGCTATAAGGCAGCCTCGTTCTGCCATTTATGCCAAAGTGTATGGAACTTGGAGAACTTTGCAAAAACTATTCCAGATTCCATGCTAAGGAGTACCAGTGTAAATAATAAACAGAAAGAGAAATGCATTCTTCAAAATCAAAATGGTAGATACTGGATAGTATCATCCATGACGTGTAATTTACGGTTTGAACCGTTTTAAAACTCTTTCTGACTTGTACGACCCATTACCGTTTCCAAAATGTTGAAAACAAATATTAATATTTTTTTGTTCAAAAAATTACATTGAGTTGTGGAACGATGGAAATCATGTTTGTTGATTTATTTGTAATGTCGTAAGTATTTTATTGTCTAGGTAATCTTGCTACAGCAGCTTCACACAAAACAATATTTTAAGTGAACTTCGGCTTTAGGGTAATTATTAAAGTTTAGAAATAAAAAAAAAAAAAAAAGAAACAAAACAAAACTTTATTTAGTTTTAAATGTTTAACTATTTTTTGTTTTTATTAAGGGTTTACAATATAACATTAACCCTTGACTAAAAATTGGAAAATGCTGCAGCCGTTTATAATTAGATACATTCATCACATATTTTTCAAATCTAAGTGTAAAAACATACAAATCAAACAGTTGTATGACTTAGTGGCTACACATTACATGCTGTCATCTAGTAAGTTACAGTAAACTTTTTATTTGTCCGTCAGCAAATCTTTTTTTCCTGCCTGCTCCAGTGCGTGAATGATCCGATTGACCACCACATTCGCTATCCCAGTTCTGGTATTGACATCCGCAAAGGATTTGATAAAAGTTGGCGATCCTTGGTGGGTAAAATGAACAGCTAAAATATATTTAAATATATTGGTGAATATAAAATGAGTAATAAGCATTTCATTAAATTTTAAAATTGAATTTAAAAAAAAATGGTAGCGCCTGTTAGCTTCACTAGGTCTTTGTTCTATGTAATTACTACGGTCTAGGTATAACCCGTCCTTGTGTATTACATATTATATATATATATATATATATATATATATATATATATATATATATATATATATATATATATATATATATAGATATATGTATATATTTGAAATGTATACATATCTTAACACACACACACACACACACACAGACACACACACACACACACACATATATATATATATATATATATATATATATATATATATATATATATATATATATATATATATATATATATATATATGTGTGTAATTTACGTAGGTACATCAGTGTAACTATTTGTATGTTTATTTTATATCGTTTATAATACATTATTTAACGATTATACGGCAAACATTTTTTTTTAGTCTGAATTGTTATCTCTTTATTAAGAAATATATGCAACTATTGATTAGTTTATTTTAACTTTCGAAAAAGCATCGAAACAAGAAGATAAAACAAGTTAATAAAAAGTCTAGAGACAATTTAAGCGCAATTTCCTTAATTAATTTTTTGTGACCGAACGAAAGGATATTTTTGAAAACTTTCTTCGGCAATATTGTTCTAAATTATGGCAGGAATCGATTGGTAAATGTTTCAAGTCGCTAAGTGGTCTGGTTGCCGAGATATGGGCCAAAAACTGCACTTTTCCGAGGTTTTTTGGCTTTTCCGGGAAATCCAGGAAGGAATTCCGGGAATATTTTGGCCCACAATCATCCTCGGGACTTGCTTAACAAATTTGCTTTGGAACTAGACCTCGATATTGCTTCATTCAGGAGGAGATACGACTTAAAGCTGCGGACACACATCCATCCATCATCCATCCAGAAATAACGAGTTAATAATCGCAATTGTCCAGTATGGAAATTGCGCTAAAAAGCAATTAAGAATATCACACACGTAGATATAAAAACAGTCGAATCATGAAACCGTAAATGTACGAATCATTAAGGTTTTTGTGACAGATATGGCACACTGTGGGTTGTTAACACTAATTGCTTGACTAGAAAATATGTGTTAAATATTTTCTGCAATATTTAGAGCTTCTCCCCCTCCCCCCCCCCCGTGTTATGAGATAACTCCCATCTTGATGTCAAACCAATCTCTCCTATCAACTGTAGTTGGAGTGTGTACTTACTTGGGTTTTATTATTGTGATTTATAATCCCTTGGTGGCAAACTCCACCCTCTAAAACGATAACATTAAAACCGTACACTGAAGAGATAATACTATTTTTACCCCAGGCATAAATATCACTTTGTTAAACAGTTTGTGTAGTTGACATGGATTTAGGACCACTTAAGATGGATTAAATCTTGAGTCGTTAGATTAATAAATTATAGGCAAAAAACAAACCAGAGGCGTTTTCGATGGTATAGGGTGGACTCTTGTTTTGTGAATCTTCAATCCAAACAGGATGGCATGTGTTGTTTTCATTGTTGCATTCAGTCTAAAACGAAGAGGAGAAAATAGTAATCGACGTAAATGGCATGGGTTGGAAGGAATAACGTTCACATATTTGTAGTGTTTTATTATACTGTTTAATAAGTTCCCTTTTCCAACAAGACGGGCAAGTAAAGTACGACTCACCTGATATTTTGAACTCGGCATATAAAGAGATAGTGTAGTCAGGAACTATGCCCAGCCGCCTTAACATTTTCTAACGTGAGTCAGGTACCCATAAAAACTGAGTGCTCAAAGTAGTTTTGCTGAATTGAACCCGGATTCGTAATAGAAACTTATCGCTTTAGCACTCTAACGCTTTACTGCCCTCATAATTACACACACAAACACACACACACATATTATATATATATATATATATATATATATATATATATATATATATATATATATATATATATATATATATATATATATATATATATTGAGATAACAAACCTGTAGATTTCTATCAAGGTGTATCGTGTCCGGATACCTCTGAAGGATCTTGTAGTATATTTGTGCTGAGTTCAAGGCAGTTACGTTTTCTCCGGAGTGCCTAAAAGTATTTCACAAAAAATATTTAAGAGTTCAGAATTTCTCCATTGTACCCGTACTTTTGTAATAAGAGAAATAATGTTTGTACACAACCTGGTAAACTACTTCAGCTTTCTAATTGTGATAAAGTGGTATGTTTTACTTATATTTATTTTAAATTTTCTCTTATTTTGTTACCTTAATGCCAGATCAATATGCAAAACTTTTTTTTTCTTTAAACAAAACTTTTAGTGAGATGCAGTTTTAGATTTAAAGTATATATTTATGGAATTTCTTGAACAAGGGAAGTTTTGGCCAAAGTTGGTAAAAATAATGGTACGATATTCTTTGAATTTCAAAACAGTATTTAAGCTGAAGTACTTAAGTTAGTTAAAATAAGGTAGGCCAGGGGCGTAGCGAGGGGGGGGGAGGGGGCGGGGGGTGCGGACCGCACCGGATGACACCATTTAGGGGGTTGACACCAAGGCAAAAAATAGCAAAATATATAGAGAAAAACTCGAGGGGGGGGGGGTGTAAATCGAAAGTTTGAGGGGGGGGTGCAAATCGAAAACTTGAGGGGGGGGGGTGCAAATCAAAAGTTTGAGGGGGGGTGCAAATCGAAAATTTGAAAGTTTGTCCCTGGAAAGGGTCTCTATGCCTCTGGGGGGGTGACACCATTAAGTGCCGCACCGGGTGACACCTGACCTCGCTACGCCACTGAGGTAGGCGATCGTACAATTTCATAATAAATAATTTGATTAAACTGCTTCAATTTTTCTTTTCTCAGTATTTTTTTTTCTCTTGATCGTTACTCCCATTTAATGTTTTCTGAAAGCATCACATTTTCTTTTTTTTTGTTTTGGTATTAGCTATCATTTTATGAATTAAAAGTGTGCAATACATGAAACGGTTGTGAAATAAAAATACAATTTGAGTGTTGAATTTTTTCTTAACCTTAAACTCTGCCGTCATTGTCAATGAGCATTGAAAAGAGTTAAAAAAGAATGACTTTTGAGAAAAAAAATTACCAAAAAGCTTTCAAAACGTGAGTAAAAAATGGAGCCTTTGGTTTGGAGACAAGGACGCGGCTGCTGACCACTCTAGAAAACTCTGCTTCACCTGACAGTTCCAGACTAGCAACGGCCGGGTACCGTCGGAGATCATTAGAAATTGGATTCATCCAAAGCACGTCGTTATCCTAGAGTAAAAAAAAATACGCATTTAATTAAAGTTGATTTCAAATTAAATTTTAAGCTTGTATATTTAATAAATGCTCGATTGTGCTAAACATGCACATATAAACAGATTCGTACTGAACTACATTGAATATTTGAATGATTTGCAATCGTGGTGATTGGATTAAAATTACACTCGTTTCCCACACATTATCGTTCATAAGAATTCATGTAAATTACAACCCGTCTCATAGATGTAACCTATTTAAATATGATATGAAATACAAAAATTATAAAGCGTAGCAAGGTGTTCAAAACTTACGTTGTACACTCCTCCATATTTAAATAAAACCAACGCTCTCAAAACATCAGCCTTATGCGCCGTTTCTTTTATCTGCTTTTGAAAGACAGAACTGAAACTTTCTATCTGTAAGTAAAGCCGGGAGAATAGTGTAAGATTTGTAATCATCTTCTGTGTACGATTTGCTGCTATTTATGTCTGTTGTTTGCATTTAGAATAGGACTGTACTTGAACGTAATGGTATCTTAACTATTTGTTTACATAAGTCCTAACAGGGATGTCAGATAATGTACCTGACTTGAATATGATCTATCGTGAAATCCATGGGCCTCCGGCTAAATATATATTGGGGTTAGATACTAAGATTAACCTAGATAAAATGATTATTAAAACTAATCTCGTTGCTTTATTCAATGAAGAAAAATGTATAACCACGTTTTATAAAAAACACTGCTCTCTAGGCTAACCAACAGTACTTCAAACTTAATCATAACAAAAGATAATAACGAAACAAAACAAAACAACGAAATATTGTACAATATGTTAACAAAACGAAACACAACATAACACTCAATAAGGTTACAAAAGTAGTATCACCAAGGGGACGATCGTCTGATCTCTCGTCTCCCCAACCCCCTAGATTTTTCTATTGAAGAGAATTGAACTCGCGCCCTTCCGACCAAAGTATCCCTACTTTCTCACTCTACTTAAACAGTTTTTAAAAAATGATAAAACCTAATACAAAAATCATACACCGATAGACGTGTATTATGCTTCCGTGAAATCCTACACAGAATAAATCGGGTACGCCCATAATAGTCTAATAGTCTAGAGTCTAGACATATGACAGTTATATAGCTTCGGCGTCTAGCATACGGGGTACTTGTAAAAAAATACAACATTGTATACACATTAAAACCTATACAATTCATTACTTTTTTCATTACTTTGTTGCAAACGAAATTAGCAAACAAAAAGACAGTAAACATTTTTTATATAATCTGAAATACGGATAGTAGTTTTTTTTTGTTTTAACCTATAGGATTCCATTGTTTTAGTTTAAAGTATTACATGCAGACAATACGATTCCTGTAGAAATTATATCACCAGATTTTGTCTCCTGTTAACTGGAGTACTAAACTTATGGGTGAAGTTCAATTTACGTGGACGAATGTAACGTTTTCGGCCTTCAGTTTATTCCAGTATTTCCCAGTAGGTTCAGTATTTCCATGAACGTATACTCTGATATAATGGATAGAGTTAAAACAATGATATATATCAGTATAGATGAGTAAACATGTGTAAATAAACCATGTTTGATTCGCTTTCGACATTTTTTCGACATAGGTTTAAAGGCTTTAAAAGACTGAAAAAACAATTACTATGCATCACGATTTGTATATATTTAATTTATTTAAAAAAAAACACATTATTTTTAAAATTATAAAATATCAATGTAGCACATTGAAAATTATTGATAAATGAATACTTTGTGTAATTATCGAAAACAAAACCATCGCTAAAAAATATCACTTTAGTTTAAATAATATTTTAGGTCATACACTGTGAAACCATGCTGTCATTTTATATGTCGCGCGCCTTACTGAAAGAATACACGGTCGACACTAAGAGACTCTGCTTGAGAGTAAGTTGAATGAAGCTAGAGTAACAAAACGTGGAATAATAAAAATAACAAAACACGATATATGGATGTATAAATGCTGCGGGCAGAACAATTCACACTACAATCAATGTCGCAGTTTAGAAAACATTATAATGATGCTTTTAAATAATGGTGTCACAAAAAATGAGTGGAAAAGGTGTTTTTATACCTTTGAAATCTTGCTACATACAGAGCTGAAAGAACGCATAGATAGAATTCAAAGGTCCAATCTATAGGCTGGTGGGTGTTTGAGTTTACCAGTATCAGATGATTGATCAATGGCGCTAGATCAGTGGGATCCTGTAAAGTAAGAAATAGATCAATATGTCTAGTGAAAAATAACTGAATTTTTATACAACTAAGTTTCAAATTTACATCGACTCACACATGCGAATGCACAACAATGTATAAATTTTTGCCGTAACATATGTTATGGTTATTATAACTACACAAAATACGTTTTTAAAAAAATGTAATCTCATTTGTTGCTTTTCCAGACACCAAACTGAGATCACATGTGTAAACTAATAAACAGCACACTAAATCTTGATGGCGATAAATAACCGAATGGAAAATTGCACGATTGGGTAGAGAGCTGGACTGCTAACCCCTAAGTCTCGAGTTCGAGTCCGGGTTCTAGTCAGCAGACCGTCCCTGAGTCCACCCAACTCTAATGGGTACCCAACTCACGTTAGGGAAGTAAAGGCGGCTGGGCATAATGCTGACCGCACTATCTCTTCATATGCCGAGGTCACAGAAACAAGTGAACTCTACTTTACTTGCCCCATAGACCGTCAGGTTTGAAAGGGAAACTTTACAATAAATTACGGAATGGACATTTGCCCGAATGCGACAAATTACAAAATGGACACTAGTAGTAATACGAAAATACCCGATTGGACGCTTGCCCGAATGCGACAAATGCCAGAAAACCACTTGCCCTTAAACGTTTTAATATAACATGTTACGTAATAGACATTCTAAACAGAAAACGTCCTTCTCCCGGCTCGATATTTTGTTAGTTTCTGGTGTGTAGACCCATTCATAAGCAGCCATGTATTACCTGCATGTGTCATTTAGTTGCACCCACTGGCATACAGCTAGCACCGGAATAATTCGTTTACAAAGTTGGCAATAATAGGGTAGAGAAGCGTAAGGGGAAAAAAACACCTCGGGATCTCTGCTTAACATAAGACCTGGCTTTTAAATTATTTTCTGTTGCTGTTTTCTATAAAACCTAAATCAAACTACAAGCAGAACGTAATTGGGCAGTTTTTTAAAATTTAATTCAATTTATGATCTAAATAGATCTCGAACAGTAAGTTCGGATGTACCGAATAAAAGAGTCTTGAAATACAAGGGCGCATCAGAGGCGTAGCTAGGGTAGGGAACGTGTGGCGGACGTCACGGGCACGGATTCTAAGTGGGCGCCAAACGGGGTTAAAAATATAACTTAAAAACTCATTCTGAGATGCATTACTGAATGATACACAGTCGAAGTTAAAAAAAAATACACTACTTCTTGGCTTTCCTAACTTAAGTGTTTTTTAATTTTGTGACAGCATTATAGCAACGGTCGAACGATTGTGGCTTTTTCGCTCATGCGGCGCAAATTCAATGGTTCCCTAAGGACGCTGAAATGAGACACTACGCCTAATAATTTAAATGTGACGTCATCTGCTCATGCGGCGCAAATTCAATAGTTCTCTAAGGGCGCTGAAATGAGACACTGCGCCTAATAATTTAAATGTGACGTCATCTGCTCATGCGGCGCAAATTCAATAGTTCTCTAAGGGCGCTGAAATGAGACACTGCGCCTAATAATTTAAATGTGACGTCATCTGCTCATGCGGCGCAAATTCAATAGTTCTCTAAGGGCGCTGAAATGAGACACTGCGCCTAATAATTTAAATGTGACGTCATCTGCTCATGCGGCGCAAATTCAATAGTTCTCTAAGGGCGCTGAAATGAGACACTGCGCCTAATAATTTAAATGTGACGTCATCTGCTCATGCGGCGCAAATTCAATAGTTCTCTAAGGGCGCTGAAATGAGACACTGCGCCTAATAATTTAAATGTGACGTCATCTGCTCATGCGGCGCAAATTCAATAGTTCTCTAAGGGCGCTGAAATGAGACACTGCGTCTCTGGTGCACGTACTTAAAAATTCAAATGAGACGTCTCTTCTTCAAGGGCATAGAGCCAAGTCGACCAGTTGCCAATAGAATCTCTTGATGGATATCATGATTACAACTCAGCCATGACGATCCCGCTTCTCCCATCTGTATTAAAAGATTTTCTCTCCGTCAATTTTTTTTACCACCCCCCCCCCCCACCGAGCGCCCCCCCCCCTCCTTAATATTCTATCTCTTCCCAGTTTTGTTTACACTTGAGGGCCTGGCTGGTTGAGTCAGAACTTTAGCGAGCTTGTCCTATTAAATTTTTTATCAGTGGATGCGTTCTAGGCTGATGATTTCTGCACAACCCCTATAAACGTTTTAAAATTTCGTCCCTCAAGGTTGTTTTAAGAAGTGTCGCTTAGAAATCGTTCTAAATTTAGTATATTCTTTAATCGTATTGGCAAAAAAAATAAAATAATTAATAATAATAAAGCGGGATAAATCATCCTTAAACATTCTCGTTCATTATTGTATATTAGTAAAAAGTAGGATAATGGATATGGAAGCAAATTAAAAAAAGAAAATTGGGTGGAAATATGTGTGTGATGGCGCTAGTTTAGGTCAAGTAAATAGAGGTTAGTAGAGACAGACAATAGATAGTTGGGTAGAGAGACCAATGGACGTACAGGAGCTGACCGGTCACGTGGGACGGTCAGCTGACCACTGAGGCGTGAGTCACTAGTGAGATCAGCGGTGTTAGGTGTTAGAGACGGTCGAGATGTGTAGGGCTAGGTAACAGTTGATAATTAGCAAGAGAACGGTCAGAGTTAGGTAGAGAATTAGAGGTAGATCGTGAGGTAGAAACGGTCAGATAGGTAGATCTAGGAAACGGTAGACAGTAGTAGTAGAGAGTATAGAATAGGCTAGTTAGGGAGGGAATTAATTTGATTGTTTAATAAAGGACATTTATCTTTTGGATCGGACTTGTGTGTGTTAATTCCGAACTATAACCAGGCTGGTATTATCTTCATCACCCCCACTCACACATCGCTGTGGTTGGTGTTTATCCCTCCCTCACAACTGGTGTGGCTGAAGATCAATCCATTCACTCGTACCCTCTCACTGAGTCATCGACCTAAAGGGCGCATAACAAGCTGGTACGTAATACTTAACTGTGTTGCAGGGAATCCTTCCAACGTTAAAAATTAAGAACAAAGAGGAAGAAGAAAGGGATAAATCACTTTCAGAGTAATCGAGTTACAGAATTTTTTAATTAACGTTTTAATACTTACATTTTATTAAATATAATATAATCTAGAATCTAAAAGAAAAAAAATAGATTTGCGCACCAAATGAAAGAAAACAGTGTTTACATAATTGAGCGAAAAATAAATACTTTAAAAAAGAATTCTTGAATTCATTTTTAAAAACAAAACTAAAAATCAAATTAAGTCACATTGTATGTGTCAGTGCATTGCCATCGAGTCTTGAATAACGAGAACAGTTTGAAACACATTGGTCCGGTAAAAGTAATATTTTTCTGAGATTCTAGAAATACAGTAAAGTTTGACAAAATGAAGAGAGTGAGAACTGAAACCTATGTATAAAAATTTAGTCTACCTACAGGAAACTGCACTGATGTTATCTGGATTTTAGAAACAGGAAATAAATTACAAATTCTTGATACAGAAGGTTACATAAACATTTATAGCAATGCAAGTATAATATATACTCAAGTTATCGTGTTCACACAACACACGCACACACAACCACACAACCACACACACGGACACATAGACACACACACACAACCACACACACGGACACATAGACACACACACACACACAAACACAGATACAAACATTGACGGACAAGATATAAAAATTAGCTTTTTTAGGTTCTGGAAGGTTATACATTTTTTTTTCAAAATCTCGATTTAGAATTTTGCACGTTTACAACTTTTTTTTTTATATTTCGCATACGATACATCGGAGATGTGTAAAAAAAAAGGGCGAAAACATTCAAACCTCTTTTAACTTTTGTGCACGATTGCACTGCTTTATGTGGTCTCTGTGTACCGGGAAGAAACATCGCCTATTTAGGGCACGAACTAACTGGTAAAATCCAATTCCTTTCATTACATTGTAAAGAGAACACCCCCCCCCCCCCCTTTCCATTTGTAACGTATGGGCACTAAAGTACCAACTCCCACCGACTTTTACTTTGATGTGGGACATCGTTAAAGGATAACGTGAAGCAGCATACAATGAGCCGCGTTTGTCCTGTGTTTTTATATAATAAATGTGATGTGCACCCCCCCCCCCCCCTCCCCGGCCCCATCCGCGTAACGTAAAGCTACCACCACACTGGGCCCAGTGATTGAAACAAATTTCTGCGCCTGATGTAACTTGCATAAGTTCTGGAAGCGTCCTTATTACAGTACTTTGCGTATTGGTATGGTAAAAGTGCTCCCCCAATTCGTAACCAATATGTCCTTACAATTGGCCTCGTTTCGCTCTAAAAGGGTCAGTACTATTTCAAACTGGAGGGGTACAATAAAGCTAAAAAAAGAATGTTGATGCAATAATAACACTTGATAGTAAAATGGTAGAGAGGATAAAAACGAAGGAAATGGCTGGTAAATTATTTTAATACAGTAGCTTTAATAATAAGTGTTAAAAAACCAAGGTATCCGTTTGATGCATTTTATCATTACCTTCACCTTAAACAACATTTATGTCTTAACGTTGGCGTATATATATATATATATATATATATATATATATATATATATATATATATATATATATATATATATATATACCCAACCCTACCCTACCCTACCCTACCATACCCTACCCTACCCTACCCTACCCTACCCTACCCTACCTTACCTTACCTTACCTTACCCTACCCTGCCCTACCCTACCCTACCCTACCCTACCCTACCCTACCCTTACCTGCCCTACCCTACCCTACCCTACCCTACCCTACCCTACCCTACCCTACCCTACCCTACCCTACCCTACCCTACCCTACCCTACCCTACCCTACCCTACCCTACCCTACCCTACCCTTACCTACCCTGCCCTACCCTACCCTACCCTACCCTACCCTACCCTACCCTACCCTACCCAATCCTACCCTACCGTCCCTACCCTACCCTACAATGTTACTATTCGCTGTGCTCAAGCTATCCTTACACCTACTACAGTGTGATGTGCGGCATGCTGTGTTGGGTAGGTTATGTTGGGAGTATAAGCTCAGTTGTGTAGGATTCGGCCTGGGTATTTGGTGTGATTTGTGCGTTGTCACTTGTGGCTTGTTTGGTGTGTGGGTGTTACGTTGGGTGTGGTGTGGATTCTGAGAGAGGTGTGGTGTGGTTTGGGTTGCTTTTGTTTTTGGCTGTGGTGCTCTGTATTGTGCCATATGCCAATCTACCTTTCTTAATCTTTATCATTCCCTTTAGTTAAATTATTTTTTTATTACCGAAATTACAAAAGCAGCTGTGTTGTGTTCTTTGCTTTTCTATTCTGCCCCCCTCCCCCCCACCAAAAAAAAAAATAGCTCTCATTTTTAATTCTTACAGTGTAGCTTTATAAGACGCCACTCGAAAAAAGTTTCGGTACCTGTGAACTCTAGTGTGGATTATCGCTGCTATAGTTTCTTAGGCATACGGATATTTGGTTACTAATTTAATATGTTGATGTATAACGTTATTTTTATGGTTTAGATTTTATGGTATAGTCGCTATTGTAATGGTTAGAATTTTTTTTAAAAGTGAAGATTCGTTTAAACTGCCTATAACCATAGAAAACGTTTTTGATTTAAAAAAAAATCCACGACAGGTTCTGAGAGTTGGTACTGGACTAATTAATTTAATTTTAAGCTGCGACAATTTTTTACATTTATAAAGAAAAAATGTTTGAGAACTTCTTATGTCACAATTTTATCACTGACATGCTAGTAATATGAATAGAACAGATTCATGTCCCGTCAAAACAAGTGCAGAATATGAATTAGTAATTTGTAAAGAAGAGAAAAAAAAAACGCCGAACTATTTATACCAAGACCGGTTTCTTGATTCACATAATGTTTGCCCATTTAAGGGAATGAAATGTAAAATTTGAAAGGGTCCGTGCGAATAGGTGTAGATTTCGCAGAAATCTTTTGGCACTGGTAAAAAAATCATGTGAGGTTTTGATCCATCAGTGCATGACGATGTGTTTTGCTCCAATGATTCAAACTGATGTTTCATAACACGTGTTTCACATCTTGGCCAATGTCGCCAGTGTAATGGCAACTAGTATTCATAAACTTATTTTAAGATTCTATAGGCAGAACCCGAAATTTTAAGATACATGTATGGGTGTGGGGAGGTAGGGGGGTGTTTTACTTAATACGTGGCCTTGAGATATTTATGTGTGTATTTGTGATTTCTTGACCAGCTTATTGTGCTATATCTACGTTCATGAAACAATATATTTTGCGTTTGTGTTTGCGTGTTGCCAGTGGCGTAGCGAGGTCGGGTGTCACCCGATGCGGCTCTTAATGGTGTCACCCCCAGAGGCGTATCTACCATTTCCCGGGGACAAACTTTCAATTTTCGATTTGCACCCCCCTCAAACTTTCGATATGCACCCCCCAAACCTTTCGATTTTCACCCCCCCCTAAAACTTTCGATTTGCACCCCCTCAAACTTTCGATTTGCACCCCCCTCAAATTTTTCTCTATATATTCCCTAAATGGTGTCACCCGGTGTGGTCCGCACCCCCCCGCCCCCCCCCCCCCTCTCTACGCCTCTGCGTGTTGCATTTGCGTTAGCGTTTGGGTTTGCATTTTCGTTTGTGTTTGTGTTGAGTTTAGTTCTGTTCCATCATTGATATACTTAAAAATATTCATAAATGTATGTCTGTTTCTAATAATGCAGCATTCATCTGTTACCGAACAGATGAAACGTTTGGAAGGTTTGAAGCACACTCTGGCCAAGTCTTCCGATTAAAGATTTTTTTTTAAGTATCGGAGGGGCTGCGCTTGTCTGGTAGTGCTTTGTTTTGTGGTTTAAGTTTTAAGTTTTACTACGGCTACCCTTAGCACATGGGGTAAGCTAACTGCACGGGCCATCTGGGATACTACTTAAATAAACAGTAATACTGCACACGGGCGTCGTTGGCGCCCCGGCGGTTGTGTGACCCGCAAAGCCTCAGGCCATTCCTTCATCACTACATTCGTTAAAGGGCGTCTAACTCTAGCAACATGGGGGAGCTCTACAATCTATGACTAAACCGGACCAGAGGTTGCACACAAAACCCTAGCGGTATTGAAGCTGGTGGCTCCCGTTGCAACCAATGCAATGTTTTTGAGCACGGGAGTTCACTGTCGTCAAATTTTTATGTTTTTTTTTATGTAGAGCTGTTTTATTACAGTTGCTTGTTACAAAATAGTTCAAACTTAATTAAAATGGTTTTGAATAATTTTGCCCAGCCTTATAGACATTTTAGACAATTTTCCCGCATCATTAATTCATTGATTTCACTTGATTTTAACCATATCTCTCCATCCGACTAGTTTTTGAGCGTCTTTCTTTATTGGCGCCCATGTAAGTCCGCCAACCATTGCCTTATTTTCTACGGTAATCAATTTTAAATTAGTTATTTACCGTACATACGTTTCCTTTACTAAACGTAGCATTTTTAGCATTAAAGTTAAAGCTAGTTTTTTTTAAAATGTTGCAGCATATTGCCATAATCCTTATTTAATCTTTAATTTAGTAGTTTTTTGAAACATGTAAAGATTATTTTCTACATATTATTAAATCCGCTGCTTGGTTTCGTTAAAATGAGTTATTAAATCCAAGCAGAAATTGTGATTTTGTAAGTACACTTCAGAATAGCGCCAATTTTTACACGTTTTCAATTATTTTGTCGGCTATTTAAAGATATGTGTTGAAACGGTATTTAAGTACATGATTTACCATGATGGGAAAGTTGTAAAAAATAATTAACAATTAATAAAAATGTTTTTGATTAAAAAATGTCAAGAACTAATAATTGGTAATTCGTTTTTTAAAAACTATTTTTATACTACTCTGAGTTTTTAAAGTATTTAGAAAGTAAGGTGATTTTAACGTTTTTGTTTATGAACGAATTAATATTTTATCTTACTTAACTTTTCATAAACCATTTGACAACATAGTTAAAGGCAGAATTAATTAATTAAAAACATATTTTAAAAATACCAAACTGTCCCACCCAAAAAGTATTTCCCTAATTTTAATGGGCGTACAAGAGACCATTAAAAATATTTTTTTGACTCAAAAAATAAGTAATATAACATAAATGTTAAATGTGTTGGTTGTAAAAAAAATATTGATAATAGTGGCTGTTGTTTTAAACACAACTAAAAGTTCAAAATGATAGCTGCTTTCTGAGATTTCTATTATATCTTTGTACTACTTTTTTGGAGCTTAGCAATTAACTGAATGTTGCAATGATCGTGTAAAGTTAAAATAATTGGATTGGATGTTAAATCATAATATTAAAAAATATGAGAACAATTAATTAATGTTTATTTTAACGATTTCTGTGATAAGAACTAACCTGAGTTTGTTTAGGAAAAACTCGATCAGGTTTGCCGTAGTACAAAGACCGTATCACAGCAGAAAAAGATGATGTGCTGTTTGCAATGTATTCTGGGTAGATTGTGTTGGACAAAACTATACACAGCGAGGAATGGTTGCGATCTGTGAATGGATTAGACCCTACAGCGTTGCTGTCGTATTGTTCTGGTGTGTGGCACTCCAAGGAAGATTTGAGAACCGCTGTCTTGAACTCTTCAATATCAAGATTAGTCTGATCGTTTTGTTTGACGAACACGATAATTTCCTCGCTAAATTTTCCACCCCGACTTGAATAGGCTATGCTATTCCTTGTTATTAATTCATCGGGAATACGAGTTAAAGTTATTCTTTCACCTACGAAAATTCCCCCAACTTTACTCACAGCTAGCTTTTCTAAAACTACACCAAGAGCATCTAAAGTGTTGCATTGGATATTTGTGTCAATCTGAACTAGATCTAAAAGTGGCAGAGACTGACGTAGTTCATCAAACCAAGTGCTCTGCTGGTCAGCAGACGGTAATGTATTGTAATAAAATACTAGTTTTAACGGTTGAATCACACGGATGATGCTTAAAATACTCAGATAATCTCTAAACAAAAACGGTTTATCCCCACACCAAACATAATATGCTGTCGTAGGTACTTCCCCAGGTATTTCTTGTATTCTCATTTGACCCTCGTCTTTATTTCTAGAATAATCTGTATTAACACTATGATTACGGACGTCATTTGTTTGCGAATTCTTTAATTTTAACAATTCCTCCATGGTTTCGTCTAATTTCAATTCAAGTTCTTTCGAATATCCACACTTTACATTATTAACAGCATTTTTAAGTTTATACAACTCTTCCGTTGTTTTTAGATATTTTGCTTCAATATCCCGCAACGATAAACAATCATCAACAATGGTCTTAGGATTGTTTAAAATCAGATTGTTTTCTTTAGACCCATCCATAATATTCTGTAGATCTTCATGACTGACACTGATGAAAAAAATCCTAAGTCTATGAGACGAACTGAACAATAAATAACACAATACACCACTAACACTAAGCTTAACTAACAGGAGAAAACAAACACGTTTAGAAGACTCCATGCTAGTGTCCGCCCGCTCAGGTAAATCAATGTGAACGCACAACCAGTCTTTTGATTGCATGCTACCTGCGGACGGACGAGCGGCGTTGCTGGTTTTGAAATCCGTGTTCATCGCAGTGTTCATCTCGATATTCTTCTGTAGGTAAAACTCGTTGTTAACCTTGCATGTATTACTTTTGTTGAAATGTAGCAGAAGTAAGACTAGTGAATGTCGGATATACCATTTCAAGAGCAATTCTATCCACTTTTTAAATGATGTTTGTTACTTCGCGGAAAGGACGGTACGTACTATAATGGGCGGGCAGGGATAAGGTGGGTTGAGAGGATTAGTGGATTAGAGGAATATATATATATATATATATATATATATATATATATATATATATATATATATATATATATATATATATATATATATATATATGTATGTGTGTGTGTAATGTGTGTATACATATAGTGCCTTTGTGCATGTGAATGAAATTGATGTGATGTATGATTTTGATATATAATTTAAAATACCAAGGGCTCTTTTGATTTAGACCTTTATTAGTTTTCTGCTTTTGAAAAAGGTTGGATAAATCACGACGTTTTACACCTTAGTCGGAAAAAACATAGTTTGGCAATCTTGTCCGTATTTCTCAAAAAAAACGCATGTGAATTTGTAAATTACTAATTATATTCCGCACTATTATACACATTTTATTTTGCGTTCACTTGGTGTACAATTCTTTTTTCTACGAGATTCTATTGTATTTTTAAAAAGTTTAAGTAATTAAAAATGGATTAAAAAATTGTCTATATCCCGAGTTGCCACCCTCGTAGTGTTATTTTTTTAATGAAATTAAAATGCACGGAAATTTATATAAAAACAACAACATTTTGTGATAGTGGGTTGTAAATAAATTATGTCTAAATACTTAGTGATCGATGGATTATGAGTTGAGTACGGAAGCGGGTTTTATCACACATTTGCGATTAAATAAGTATTCGCTTAAAAGTTTTCCCTAGTATATAATTGGATTTTTTTGTTGTTGTAGAGATAATAAATATATAATGCAACGCATCTCTGACATGTTTCATTATAAAACAATAATTAGCGATTTTTATGACAACATCAGCGTTTGCTGAAATTTCTTTTTTTGTGTAGTAACCCCCCCCCCCCCCCCCTATAGGATCTGCTAAACTTTCAATAAAGCAATAACAAATAAAATTTCCTAAAATTCAGAAATATATTTGATAAATCATGTTAAATGATTACAAAATAACTTTCCGTGTTGAGAATCATTTTCGAATTTGAATCCATGGGATTTCTTCGCAATGCGGGAAAAGATTTACTTATACAAGAAATACACGAGGTCCATCCCAGCTACTCCTAATCCCCGATTGCCGGCATCTTAAGTTTTAAAATGAAATTGACTTAAAAGTTTCGTTTAACCTCCTTATACAATACACAATCCTTGTGCATATCACACTCTTTATCCAATTCACAATCTTTATTAAATTCACATTCGTTATGCAATTCACACTCCGTATTCAATTTACACTCGTTATACAATTCACCATCCTTATACAATTTACGATCCTTATGCCATTCCCATCTTAGTGCAATTCACAATCCTTATACAATTCACACTCCCTATACAATTCATACTCCATATAAAATTAACACTCCTTATACAATTCACATTCGTTATGCAATTCAAACTCCTTATACAATTGACAATCCTTATACAATTCACACTCCCTATACAATTCCTACTCCCTATACAATTAACACTCCTTATACAATTCACATTCGTTATGCAATTCACAGTACTTATACAATTCACACTCCTTATACAATTCACATTCCTTATACAATTCACACTCCTTATACAACTCACATTCGTTATACAATTCACACTCCTTATACAATTCTCACTACTTGTGCTATTCACAGTACTTATACAATTCACACTCCTTATACAATTCACATTCGTTATGCAATTCACACTCCTTATACAATTCCCACTCCTTATACAATTCACACTCCTTATACAATACACACTACTTATACAATTCACACTCCTTATACAATTCCCACACCTTAAACAAATCCGTAGCCAACAACGCAAAAACTTGCGCTATCATGTTTCTACACGACAGAGATCTTATTAAATTACTTCGTGCATTATCTGAGACGGTTGTGCATTTGCAATGTGGGAACAACAATGGCAAAATGTAATGATAATCTACATTGGGCATTCCTGTCTGCGAACGTACTAGACGTTCTGGTTTAACACAAAAAATCTCATTATGTGTTGTGTCGCTAGTTCTATTATCTAGCTCTGCTACTCCGATGTTATGCCTGTCTGTATATGCTTTTCGAACATTTAAAGCATATGTCGAAGGAAATTTCGTTTCATAAATTTTTAATGGCCCAAACAGATATTGGTACTTATAAGTACCGTCAGAAATGTAGGACATTTTTTCCAAAATTTTTTTTTTTCAAAACAGGAACAAACGATACAATTTATTAACTAATAACATGGCAATCATTATAACAGTCATTTTCACACATAAATACAGCACAAAAGTATATTTTGAGTACGATTTTACTGGATTTTCTACCCTAACCCTAACCCTAACCCTAACCCTTATACCTCAAACACAACAGAAGTTGCCGACATGTCATGCTCCCTAATTCTTGTCTGTGGTCATTCTGGTGTAGTAACGGTTGCCGGGCTGAACATGCTTTTACTGGAAGCTTCCAATAGCTATTACTTACAATGAGCCGCATAAACAAACAAAAGCCTAGTCATTCAGCACACAACTACTAGTAATACTAGTATAATTGTAGCCTACTAGAATGTTATGACAAGTCTGCACTACAGTGTAAAGTTCATAAATAGAAGTGAGCTCAATGTGTTTAGGATAACCGAAGTGGCCTACTGTTTCCTGTTTACGGATTAAAATTTACCATATAGATCTATACTATATGCAGAAGTATGGAATATTATAGTCTACAGGTATACATATCGTAAATACTAGTTATTGGAGGCAAGATAGTTTATTGCAGTAAATATAACTAACAAATTAAATCTTACTACTAGAACTAGGCTTTGGTATACAAATGAAGTATACTAAACCTAGTAAACGAGCCTGCAACTGCTACCTTTATTCTTGTTATTCTTTTACTACTAGAAATCAACATGTAATTATATTTCTTAGGTAAACCATATGCTAACCTTCTTATAAATGTGTAAATATCATGTTTTGAGTACATTTCAATAGTTAATTATCAAAATAATATTTATGTCGCTCCACATAAAAAATCTGCCATTTCCTAAAAATTCTAAAAAAATGATCTTGTGCCCTGACGGTACTTATAAGTCCACTTGTAAACATCGATCTAATACATAGACAATTTTATTAAAATTGTATAACTAGAAGTTAAATGCGTTTGCCTGACTATTGGAGATGCCAATAAAAAATATTTGGGGATGAAAACTTCAAGAATAAGGTAAAACAAAGGGAAATCAGGAACGTGTGTGAGAACGTTACAGAACAATTGTGAACTACCGATACAGCAAGACATTGAAATTGGCGCCACAACAAAAAAAAAAAAAAAAAAAAAACATCGATCCATCCAACTACCGGCGATTCAGGGGAGATAATACTATTAATTACATCAATAATTTTTAAAATTCGTATTAAATTAAAAATAATACAGGCACTTAATTAAAGTGGTACTTATAAGTAGCGTCAGTAGATAAAGGGTTAAGAGCTTGAAACGACGGATATTGATGTAATCTATGCGCACTGTCAGACAGAAAAATGAACAGACATGACCACTGGGAACTATCGCGAACAATGCCATCATTTATTTATTGGAGTGTGGTAACTCAAGGTGGGTCGGTGAATGAATAATTTACAGACCTCAAAGTAGACAGGCTAAGAAAATACTACCTCTCTCTTTCTCTAGATCTTTCTCCGCCCTCTCTCTTTTTTCTCTAGATGTTTCTCCAACCTCTTTCTCTCTTTTTCTCTAGATCTTTCTTCACCCTCTCTCTCTCTCTCTCTTTTCTAGATCTTTCTCCACCTCCCCCCTCTCTCTTTCTCTAGATCTTTATACACCTCTCGCTCTTTCTCTAGGTCTTTCTACCCTCTCTCTCTTTTTCTCTAGATCTTTCTACCCCCTCTCTCTCTTTTTTGAAATCTCACCCCCTCTATCTTTTGAAATCTCACCCCCTTCTATCTCTCTCTTTAGAAATACCCCCTTTCTCTCTCACTCTCTCTCTCTCTTGAAATCTCACCACCATAATCTATTGAAATATCACCCTCTCTCTCTCTCTCTTTTGAAATCTCACCCCCTCTCTCTCTCTCTCTCTTTTGAAATCTCGCCCCCTCTCTTTTGAAATCTCACCCTCTCTCTCTCTCTCTCTCTCTCTTTTGAAATCCCCCCTCTCTTTTAAAATCACACCCTCCCTCTCTCTGTCTTTTGAAATCTCACCCCCCTTCTCTCTCTCTTTTAAAATCTCACCCCCTCTCTCGCTCTCTTTTGAAATCTCACCCCTTTTATCTTTTGAAAAATCACTCCCCCCTTTCTCGCCTTTGAAATCTCACCCACTCTCTCTTTTGAAATCTCACTTCCCCTCTGTTTCCAACTTTTATTTTTTCTCTTACTCTGTTTCTCTTTCATTCTAGATCTTTGTTCATTCTCTCTCTCTTCTTTATTTCTCTTTCTCTCTCTCTCTCACCCACACACACACCGGTATAGCTAATTTAATCAAGGCTTTCAATCCAAGTTGATCTAAAAGACACAAAGAAACATTCTTTACAACCGTAATGCCAGGTACTACGGTTCCCAGGTATGAAACGGATTATGGCTTCTAAATCTGTCCGTGTATGAGGCTACCTTTTCAGGATTTGGACAACCGTTTGTGTTGGGCCTAGGATCCCTACAGTTACACCCCCTCCAATCATACCCACCCAGGAGCATACTGTCTGAGAAAAACTTTGATATGATATTTTTAA